TAAAAATATAAAAATTCAATGCTTGACAGAAAAGATTTACTATACAAGAAAACAATAAGTGAATTACGAAGTTAAAAATATCAATTTAATATCAAACCTTACTATAAATGAGAATACTAAGGAAGTGATTGAAGAAGTACAAACAAGTCAATGTTCGGCATGTAAAAATTATCTTCTTCTCGTTCTTTTTGTTGATTCTCCTGAGTCACGTGAAAATTCTATTATTTGAATTTTTCTTTTCACTGGTCTTTTGGGTTTTACTGATGATGATTGTTGCATAAGGCTTTCATCATTATCTGTTGATATTGAAGTGGAAGATGCTGTGGATAAAGCTGAATTTGATTGAATGGTATCTGATGGTGGTATAATAGGTATCTGGTTTGGTGATGCGACTTGTTGAGGCACATTATCTGATGTTATTAATGGTGGTGGATTATTTGTTGACGATGGTAATGCTGATTGAGGACTGCTTATCATTTTTTTCAATGCAGGACATATATTATTTAAACCTTGAAGATGACGATAGAAATTCGACAATTGAAATTTTCCACGTCTTAATGGTAATGATGACCATTTTTGACAACAGCATCTTATATCGCATTTTAATGCACCATTTGAATCATTTTGCATTAAAATAAAATAATGTTCACCTTCAACTAAAGTAAATTGTTGAACATTTAATTTTGATTTGTTGTTTTCGCACCAGTTATTCAATGTATCAATAATATATGTTTTATTTTCAGCAACTGATGAATTGAAAGATACGGATATGGTTTTTTCTGTTGTATTATTTGATGTAACAGTCGACGTTGATTTTGGTATTGTTAATGATGATGATGACTGATTATGTTTTGAAGATTTAGCTAATTTGACATCCTCAATACATTTCTTTTTTAGCAAATCAATAAGATATTCGATATTTCCTTTTACTCCCGGTTGTATAACAAATGTACCATCATCTTGCATATAACCATATTTATTCTTCAAACCATCTAGACTTTTACTTTTAACGTCCATAATAGCATAAACATTATCTGTCATCAGCAATGATTTTACACAATTAATACCTTGTATTTCAAGTAGAGCAGCAGCTGCATGACCGGCTTCTTCCTTGACAAAATCAATAAAATCATCATCACGCAATGCCATTATATTTGATGGTAATATCGAAATATCAATAAGAACATCGAGTTGAAACATGTTTGGATATTAATTATCTGAAAGAAAAACGTTTAATTATCTATAAGCAAACATTTCACTCCTACTTGATATGTGTTTATAAAAAGAAAATATAATATATTATATTTTCTTTAAATCATGAGTCACGGTTCAGGAACATCATCAGTCAATAGTTTCTGAAGATATATTTCTACATATTGTTTTAAGCATTTCTCAATTTTTAGCGACATTCCACCTTTTACAATAATGTTTTTTTTCTTTAGATTATCGATATATGATTCATCACAGCTGTTTATGAGGTACAATTTTTTTAAATGTCGTAAATCTTTGTCTTCAAAGATACTCTACACTATACTATTATCCAACTTAATTTTTCTATTTTATCTAGATAAACAAAAAACACTCGTTATTTTTCTTCTTATGAATGATACAATGACAGAAAATGCGTTTTCTTTAAAAAACGATGACTTTTATGGTTTTATTCACGGATTAGTTGGGCAACAAATAGTGGACATTTTAAAGTTTCAATCAATAACATCTACACAATCCTTAATCCGAAATCCGAATATTTTTGAAATATTTAATATGAAATGTTCAGAGCCTAGTTTCTTATTAATTAGAGAAAAGTCATGTTTGCAACTTGACGATGGTCAATTTATTATAAAAATTGGGTTAATGAATAATCTAAATTATTTGCTTGATCTTTTAAAACAACAGCAACAAAAGAAAATAATGGAAAGTATTTATATTGAAGCATATACAAGTTTATCATTCGATTTTATCAATAAATATCCATTGTTAAAAAGGTTGATCCTTTGGTTTCAACAACTTGGAAATAATGGTGGTATTAATAAGGATTAGCATGGGTTTTTAATAAATTTTATTGATGCTATTACTAACAACTTGACAAAGTCGAGCAATCATTTCAGATACAGTGACACAATCAAGAACTTTGCTCTATCATTATATATTTTAGGTGGAAAATTAACCTACGAATTTATTGGATTAAATTTACCAGGCTCTTTGTCCAGTGTAACTATGTTAAATACATTAATTTCAAAGTCGAATGCAAAAATTAGTGAAGCAGAATTTCGATTCGACCAACTTCAAAAACATTTTGATGATCATAATCTTCAATATGCATTCGGCTCGGAAGATGCTACAAGCATAATTAAAAAGATAAAATATGACTCAACAACAAATACATTTAATGGATTTCCTACACCACTTGATCGTGGAGTACCAATTAAAGAATATTATCGAACTGATTCATTCGATAAATTGAAGTTATGGTTTGATTCAAATGATAAAGCATCATTACTAAATGTACATATGATTCAACCAGTACCGTCCACAAATCAAAGCATCATTCCAAGTCCTTTTTTATTATCAGCATATGGAATTGATAACACAGCTACAGCGAATGATATATTACAAAGATGGTGGTATATATTCAATCAATGTTTACAAAGAAATATTAGGATTATTGGTTTTTCTACTGGTGAGAAAATAACTAAGCATTGTTAATTCAAATCTTACTAAAGAGTAACTGTTTTTTATTATTATAGATGCTGATGCAAAATATGTACGTGCCATGAGATTGATGAGTGGTTTTTTTGGGTCTCTTCCTAATTTTCAAATTCATCAACATCCACAAGCTTTTCAAATAAAAACAACATCGCATTGGCCTTGGTTTTATTTACGTGAACAACAACTATTATTGTTTTTTCAAGACGCGACTCATCTGGTTACAAAATGGCGCAATCGACTATTATCATCAGCAGCTGAATTACGTCTTGGTAATCAATTTATATCGATCAATCATTTATATGATATAATCCATAATGAAACGTATACTAAACTTGATCATGGCCTAACAAAATCTGATATTAACCCTAAAGATCGTCAAAACTTTAGTTCCTGTTTAAAATTAACATCTCCTGATCTATTTAAAATTTTAAATGATAATAATGGCACTCAAGGAACTTTGATTTATCTGCAAATGTTAAAAATGATTGTAGTGGCTTATATCGATAAAAAAACAACGATTGCTGAACGTAAGTATTGGTATTTACCATATTCATTGAGTGAGAACGGGAAACTGTTCATTAAAAAGGTGTCACACGTAATATAACTTTATTGCAGGGCTTCGATCTGCTTGGTGTGTCGTATTTTTCTGTCGAATATGGTTTGCATGGATTAAACTCAAAACATTCCATCCGACGCAATCCACAAAAAACATCAAAAGCAGATACTTTATTACTAAACCAGCATATTTATCTGTGGAAATAAATGCACATAATTTATTATATTTAGTTTTACTTGTTAAACAAAAACAGTTACCACCACATGTACTGCATGTTCATACTTTTAGTTCGCAAGCTTGTGAATCGATTTTTAGAAACACACGAGCATTGAGCGGAATCTATTCAACAATAATCAACTTTACAGTACGTGATTTTTTACGGCGTGCCCAAAGATTGTCCTTATTGAATGATATTACATTTAAACAATTAAATGATAACCCAGTTAATAATTTCGTCTTCCCAGTTCATCACAAACATCGAAAGGATCGTCAATCATCATTTACACAAAGTCAAAGGGATATTGATCAAATAGATATCGAACGAATTATTACTGATGCTTACCGTGAAGCTGTTGATATGCTTGATCGTTTAGAAATATTGAATTTACTGAAAGAAAAACGTGCTCTTGGCTTAAACTTATTAAGTGAATATGTGTTTAAACAGCTAAATTCGAACTCAAAGATGTATGATTACTCATCTCAACTAAGCAATATAGATGATGAAGAATTCGAATTCGAATTAGTAGATGATAATGATGATGATGATGAAAGAGCAGATGATCTCAACATGGATGATGGTAATAATGATAGTACTTCTTCTAATGATGATCACATTGACGACGACGACGAACAAGATGATACTCAAAATTTAATAAATACGACGAAAGATGACTATGTTGGAATAAAAATCTTCAATACGATTCAGACCCACATAGAACATTCTTGTTTTGAAGTTACAATCAATGACGATATGAAATATATGCATAAACAAACTGCTTGTTGGTTATTAACCGGCGAAAAAAAGTAAAATTTCAAACGATCGATTGCTTTGAGTACAGCAGACTAATAAAAAAAAGTGATTTTTTTCTTTATGTACCATTTTCTTGAATTTTTCAATAAAATAAAGACCATTTACTGACTTAGAAATTTTGGAATGCATGAATGTGTTGAATACGAAAAAGAGAAAGATGGTCCATAATGGCCGCTGAATAAACACTAATAAATATTTCATATGATAATACAGATGATACAAACAAATAAAAAATAAAGAAATTAAATTTCTGTCATGGATTTCTGAAGATAGGCAAGAATTTTACAAGAGCCCACTTGACTCCGCGTGAGTGGAGTCTGCTGTTTCCCCCTTGAGATTATGCGACAAGTATACCAAAACCATTTTGTATTAGCTGCTTATGGTGTTAACAATAAATTTACCGCTATGGATATTTTAGATCGGTGGATGTATATATTTCAAAGCTGTTTTGGATAAAGGTATCCATATAATTGGTTTCTCTACCGGTAAATTTAATAACTTCGTACTTGCCAGACCATAGTTTTATTTTATAAATAGATGCTGATAACAAATATGTAAGTGCAATGCGTCTTGCAAGTGGTTTTTTCGCTTCACTATCAGGTTTGCAATTGCATAAACATGAGCATACATTTAAAATAGATATACCAAAACATTTGACATGCTTTTTCCTTGGTAGGAATCAACTTTTATTATTTTTCAAGGTCCTGTTCATTTGGTAACGAAATGACGCAATATATTATTGTCATCAGTGACAGATTTAAGCTTTGGTATCGATAAAATCAATATGAAACACATACAACAATTGATAGATGATGATCGTTATACAAAATTAGATCATTGCTTGACGAAGAGTGATATTAATTCAAAGGATCGTCAGAACTATCGTTCTTGTATAAAATTAATATCAGATGATGTGTTGAATATTGTCACGAATGATGCGGATACACAAGGAACCGGTTTGTATCTAATATTATTAAAGATAATAGTGAGAGCGTATATTGATAAATCAACTAGTATCAGTGAACGTAACTATATTTTTGAACTTTAAAAATCAGAAATCCATACTAAATTATGGTTGTAGGGATGTAACAATGCCATTTGGAGACACATAAAGATTGCCAATTTTTACAATGAAAATCTACCAATACCAACCAATAATTTGTGTTAGTTATAACCAGCGAAGTTAGCTCTATCTGATAAAAGTATATAAAATACCAATACCAATAGAAAAGATCCCCAGTATTGGTGAGTTTTCGTGAAAATAACCGTTTTTTTGCCAATACTCGCTAACATTGGGGATCTTTTCTATTGGTATTGGTATTTTATATACTCCTACCAGATAGAACTAACTTCGTTGGTTATAACTAACACAACATGTTGGTTGGTAGTGGCAGATTTTCATTGTGAAAATTGGCAATTTTGTTGTGTCTCCAAATGGTATTGTTACATCCCTATATGGTTGATAATGCCCACGTAATTTATTAAGCATACAATCAGCATGGTGTGCTGTTTTTGTTTGCCGTCTATGGTGGGCTTGACTGAAAAAAGCATCATCATTAAATTCTTCGCAAAGCAAAGCAGCAAGTGAAAATAAGAATATATTAATAGATATTTTATTGCAAAGTCTGCATACTTATCTGCAGAGCTAAATGCACACAATCTGATATACTTAGTAATTTTAGTAAAAAAAACATTTACCAAAACAAGCATTAGTTAACATTCATTCATTCACTTCACAAACATGTGAATCGTTGTTCAAAGATACAAGATCGTTGAGTGGTTCATTCTCCACGGTAATTAACTTCACTGTCAGCAATTTTCTTCGGCTCGCACAAAAGTTATCCATTTTGAATCAAATAAAATATGATGATTCACTGGTATCGTCCAATCAGTTAGCTGAAATCGATAAATTAGATGTTGAGGAGATCATTTCAAATGCATACGGTCAAGCAATGTACATTGTCAAACATTCAGAAATTTTAAATGGATTAAAAAGATATAATATAATTAATTTAACGGATTTAAGTACATTTCTTTTTGATAGTTTCACTAAAAGTTCAAAAATGTTTGGTTATTCTTCACGAGCGACTAGTGATGATGATGATTATCAAGAGTTTGAATTGAATGAAGAAGAAAATTATATACAAGATTTACTCGATGATGAAATGTTATTCGATTTTGAAGATAATGATGACGATAGTGACCAGGAAATGTTAAATTCAACTAAATCTGCCTTCAATGGAATAAAAATTGTTAATAATATTAATCCAATCTTGAGAAAGTCGTATTTCAAGATCAGAATAAATGAGAAAAATAAGTATCTTCATAAACAATTGGCCTGTTGATTGTTATCGAATAGAATCACGCGACTATCAAGTGATCGTTGATCTCGTGTTATGCAGCAAACAAATAGTACCGATTGATAAACTTATTGTTTCATTTTATTTCGTTTTTACTAGTGATGTTTTTATTTGTTAACTGATTAAAAAAGCAGTCTTTCATATCTTAGCTAATAAGTTTGACTTCTACTATTTAGCTTTCACGTATATAAAGGTTTCTTCTAAATCTCTCCATCGGTTTCAAAACAATTTTCCCGATCCGGTAAAAGAACTATTGAACGTTTTCACATCTTTATAAAGTTGTCAAACTTTTCGATTATGCATCTTGCTCAGAAAGATTTCTTCTGTAAACTCTTGTATTTAGAAACACAATAATCACTCAATTTGAATATTTATTCATTGAAAAAGTATGGTTTCAAACTTAAAATGGGCGGAACCAAAAAATATGGAACTGTAACTTTTAACCCTTTACGGCCGGATGTTGTCATTTGGCAACATTGTGCCGATATTTTAAGAAAGGTCTAGCTATACTGTGGACAGATAATGAATCAATCGTTCAATAATTACTACAAGATAACAGGTATGATGAACCATAAAGAATGTCACCTTTTATATTTTGATGATATCTCGTTCGATTTTCATCCAGCGGATTAGTTTTTTTTCTAAATATTCCCCGTTCAAAGCTCTACAAAATACATTATTTTTATTAGCGAAAATATTCTTCACCATTTTGAGATATGCGATACAATCGATTAGTCCAAGACGCACGACTTTCAAAGACAATTTATTGACGAATCTTTCCAACAGCTCGTTTCACCTCAACGATGAGAGTATTTTTCGACTTGACCTTATCCCAATTAACATCATGAGCAAGTTCATCTCAGATTAAGTAATCTAAAGGATTTAAATCTGGGCTGTTTGTAGGCCAATGGTCCTTGTCGATAAATGATGAAAAATTGTCGCTGCACCATTGTAGCGTTAGATGATGGATATTAGGCTTTGCGCTATCTTGTTGAAATGACCAATCAGTCCCCAGAATGTCGTTTCTGTATTTCAGAGCCACTGGAAGCACTTCTCGAATGTATCGGTCATGATCGATCGTTCCTTCATCAAAAATAACAATTGCTAACACTCCCTTGGAAAACACAGCCAACCAAACCATCACTTTCTGAGGAAATTTTCGATTTTGCTTTACGCCATCCATTTTATCAGCTTCGGCACGCCTGACTGCCCATATACGATCATTTTGGGAGTTGTAGATCCCATCTATGTCGAACAGTTTCTCGTCCGAGAACAGAATCTTTATCGTATCCTCTTTTCGAAAACGTGTTCGTACCCAGATCGAAAATGTTTTTCTTTTCTCTTTATGCTCGTCGGTTAGTAGTGGTTCGACTATTTTCTTATACGATTGAAGAAGCAGATCATCCTTCAATCTCCGATGAACACTAGTTCGAGAAATATTTAGCACAGCAGCTAATTTTCGACTGGTCACTTTTCCCTTCCGATTCAGGTGATTCTTCACTTTTTTAATAGGCTCCTTCGTTCGGATGGTACGTGCACGACCTGGGGATGTAGACAGTTTGATAGAGCCGTTTTCACGGATCATTTTGCACCATCTTTTGACTGTTCGAAGACATAATGCACCATTTAAATGCCGAAATATATCGGACGGACCTTCACCTTTTTCGTACTTTTAAAGTACGAGTTTTTGCAAATCTTTGCTTTTCATTGTTGGAGAAAAGAACTAGACAATCAAAGGAGCTAATGTATATACTGTTTTATAAAGCGTCAAACGGGGAATATTTTGAAAAAAATTGGATTCGTTAGGATGAAGAACCAATGAGATATCATCAAAATACAAAAGATGACATTCTTTATGGCCCACCCGTTAATTAGCATTATACAGTAGTAAATGCAAGTAGTATATTCAATTATAATATAGTAGTATAATACATGAATAATCGACTTTTATTTAATTGAGCAATAATCAATGTTAACAATAATTATACTGAACGAGCAATAATTATATTAAATGAGCAATAAATATATTGGATGAGAAATAATTAATTCAGATTAGAGATAGACTGTATACAAAATGTGCAATATGGATTGACCTTTTTGCAAAAATATGTATTTTTTGATTTTTTATGAAATAGAATATATAACTTATACAAATTGCTTAATCACAAGACATAACACAATATATTTCTGACTATGAATGGGACAGTGATACAGATCTGCATTCTTCTAATAAGCAGTGAATAGGTTTAAAAAGGCAAAAAACAAAATAGAGGTTGATCGTCATAATGTCGAAAGGAAAAATGTCGAAAAAATTATATTGACATGAAATATTGTCAGTTAATATTTTAGAGAATTGTAAATAATATAGTGTATGTTTTTTGTATGAAATTAAGCTGAAATGTTAAAGGTGAGAAAAGTTCTTTTTAAACATGTCATTTTTTCACGAGCTTCACGAACCACAAGTTTTTCTTTTTCTGGAAGATGACTATCATTGCCAACACTTTTCATCAATCCATTATTTGAATCAGTATATACTTTAGCTGCACAATCCTTAATATTAATAGTGCATATCCAATATTTCGTAGTTGTTGTTGCTTTATTCAATTAAAAAGTGTAATCATCAGCAACTATAGTAGAGGTTTTCCTTTATTTGAATTTATAAATGAAACAGCAGGAAATTTTGCTTGAATTTCACTAGTTAAAATTACGAAAGCTTCAGCCATGACAGTACAATTTTAGTTATATAATAATTCTTTGTTCAACTGTTTCATTTTACTTGTATTGATAGTTAGTCATCCCTATCAATATTGGCTAAAATTCTACACTAGTGAAATTATAAGAAAAAACAATGAACTAAATGGGATTAGAATCGCCATATACTGGAGACATCATTATTTTTTATTTTTCACTTTCGGCATTTTTTCACGTTAATATGTATGTTTCGACATTTTTCCTTTCGATGTTTTTTCTTTATTTTTTCTGTTTTCGACATTTCTCCAGCACAGCAAAATAGACGACAATGCGTTTGGGTCCTGGTCTGAAAATTTCACTGATCCAATGTCGATTGACAGAAAAATTCGATCCTTATAATAAGAATTTATCAATTTTTTTAAATTTTCATTCGTTTTATCCAAAACACTTTAATCTGTCGGATACGCGTTCGGGTTCAGGTCCATCCATTTTTGGATCCAATGCGCTCTAGTGTGGACTGTAGTTAATCTTTTAACTCATACCCATACCTACACTCACACCTAACAGAAGCAAAAAAAATGTGGAAATCGGCACAAAAAGAAAAAGAGACTGACCATCGAAAGCAAAAGAAGGTTTCATTAACAATGATTTATTTCATTTCCTATTTTTTTTATTTACCATGGTAAATAAAAATGATGTGGTTTTTATTTTTTTATTGTTAAAATATGAAATTATTACTGCTTTTTAATGAGTTATTTATTGCACATTTTATATTATAAAATTGCTCAAATAAAGTTTTTTTATTGCTCAAAAATTATTGTTAAATGGTACTCTAATTATTACTCAAATAAATGCAAGCCTAAGTAATCATCTAATGCATCTGAATCCGCTTATAGAGTAAGCTCTAATTAAACAGGCGATATTTGCTTTTAGTTAAATATTAAGATTTCAAAGTTACTGTTTAATGAATTTATTTTTCAGAAGCAGAATCATACCCTACAAACGCTTAAGACACTATGAAAAATATTTACGACACGGTTCAATAATGAATAAGAAATATATTTATTGATCATTTCTTCTAGATAGATCGAAATCATGCAATCTAAGAGTACAGTCGAGCGAGTCGAAGTGGTGAACGTTACTTATCATGAATGGATGTGAACACGTCGAAACAGGAATGTCGAAAAATAAATATCGAAGGAAAAAATGTCCAAGAAAAAAATACCGAAAAAAACCGATTCTTAAGAATATTTCGAAAGCATTGAACGCCAAGACGTTCTGGTTGAAATAGATAATTACGTTACCCTTTCAAGTTAAAACAATTATTATTCCAATCAGCATGAACCTTGCCTTTGTAATTCTTAGTTTTACAGATCCAATATATTTGCGAAGATGTTTGTTTATTGAATTTGTAAAAGAAACCGTTCCGAATCAATTGTCAATAATGTTTGTTGGAATCAAGAAAAGATATAGAACTTGTATTAGTGGGTATTATACAGCCGACAGAATTAAGTGATGAAACTACAATAATGTGTACTGCAATATCAAAAAGCAAGCGAAATATGTAGAAGGCCGTATAACAATACTTTGATCGTGTTCTTTGTTCTTTTGTAGTTCCGATATGTGCTACATTCTGGGATGTTCGCTCACAAAATTACTTATTGAGGAAAATTATTTAGCTAATCATTGAAATTCTACTGAGAAATAGAAAATAAGATAGAACAAAATCAATATTGTTTCATAAGGATATCTCACAATTTTCGATATTGTATATGTTCGACGTTTTTTTCTTCGGCATTTATTTTTCGATATCTCGTTTTCGACATTTTTGCTTTCGACGTTTTCAATACATACCGTGGTGCTTATAGTCATTCACACCCACGCCCACACGCTAGGTGGAGCCTAATTACTTTAAATGATTTTAAACATCGCTCAGCAGTTTAAAATTAGTTAATGTCATTTGAAGAGCCTCTATTGTTTACTCATTTGCTCTTGGAAAGTTACAGCTTAGAGAATGCTGGGACCCTGCGATGATGCATCAAGAAATATACAGAAGAATAAGTAACGTTCCGAAGTGCGAAAATGTCTTTTTCCCTATTGGCACTATATAAAGTGTACATTGCCGTACAAATTGAAAATTTTCATTGGGAATCGTATTCTTTAAAGTTTAATCTTATATTTATTAAATAGCTTTCATTCTCCTTTTATTATGTAGACATGATATGTATGTATGCATTGTTTTACTTTTCGCACTTCAGTTTGACTGATATTTTACGGTGCTCCGAACGACACGTTCTTCCCTATCAATGAATTACAAGAAATAGAAGTTAGAAATTGTCTTTGTCTGTTGTTAATCTTAAAAGGAAACTACGAAATGGTCCCCGTTAGCTCTTCTCAAGGTACCGTAGAGACTGAATTTTACAAAAAAAAGTTTACTTCGCAAAACTATTCTCTTGTGGAAATGGTCCTTTCGCAGAACGAGTATATACTTCGGTTCTGCGTAGGAAACAAAATCTTTGCTGAAATGTAATGCCTGTAATTTCATATGGCCAAATAGAATAGATCACACTATTTCATTTTGTCCCAGTGTTATTGTCTTCATCGATACTAAACATTATAAGAGGAGATCCAAATCTATAGTGTAGCGAAGATTTTTGACTCATACTGATAAGCACCTGGAAACTGATAGTGCATTAGTTTAGTTCTTATATATGATCTTCAGTTGCTTTTTACCGATCAGATTATACTATGAAAATGGCCCGCTGTTTGCGAGTACCATCATAAATGCAAATCAACTTTTAAAGCCTTAAGAACAATGATCGCGGAATTTGTTACAAGTACCGTCATCTTGTCAGAAGCCAACGAGGTATGACAGAGCATGAAGCACTCTGCAGGTGTGCTCTTAGAGATTCTTTCTTCGTCTCTGAGTTAAAATGTAGCAAAGCCTTTTTTCTCTCGAAAAATATTATTTTCTATATATCTTATTAGACTGTAGCTATCAGGGACATTACTTCTAGTAACGATGTTTGCAAGTTTATCGAACACAACTAATAAAAATATTCTTCGATTAACTGTAAAATAATCGGAAGCAAAAGTCTTCTACTGTTTCTAGGCGTAATGGATATGCTTCATGGGAGCTTTTACAAAGCATCACCCTCAAGATTCAAAATATTATTAAAAATTAGTTTTTTCTTACTTAGTGTGGGTGTACGGATTATTTCTGTCGTCAATTATTCATAGCGTTCGTTGCCTGCCAATAGTGTGTTTGTTTCCAACTTTCAGAATAAATTTCACACAGTCATTGCTGACATCAAAGAACGTCTGACTAATATTTGTTGATAAAAAGTACCATATTACTTTTGTTACTCAACGCAAAGAATGCAATCTATCATGGGAAGTAAACAATGCGAAATGCTGCTATTTTTTACCCATGAAGAGAATAAAACAAAGATTGCAATATTTGCTTATTTTTAACGATGCCTGTTGGCCATGAAAGAGCAGAATTTAATTGTCCTTTATGTCTTCACTCTCTTTTCGCTACGTTTAAATTTCCAAGTTTAAAAAAAAAACATTGAAAGTGGGAAGTGATGAAGAAAACAGATTTCTATAAATATTTGCTTTCATTAGTTTTACAATTTTATCTTTCGACATGTGTTTTATTTTCCTTTTTGACATCATTTAGATAAATCATATTATGATCATAGTAGTATTGCCAGTCATTTCGTTTCGATTGTTTCTGATTGTCTGAGATTCCAAAGTATCCTTTGATCTTGCTAATGGATATGGTCATCTCAAAAATATCGTTTCATTTCTTTAAAATTATTTCCTATCTATCTGAGAATACATCCTATTCCGCAATATTGAACATTCCGGAACCAGTTTCGCTCGCGGAACCAATTCCATCTAATTCCCACCGATTCCGCTTTCACCTAATTCAGAAATTGGACTGAATTCCGTGCAATTCCGGGAATCGGACAAGGTTCAGGTTTGATCTAGTTCTGGATTGTTCAACATTGCAGAATAGGTTGACTGTTCATCTATCTTGCATAAAACAAATGAAAAGAACTCCATTACACGAATGGGAAAAAGTGGCTTGTTCTCTTTTTCATATATCTATGTCACGTCGAATCGCAACCAGTTCTTCCGAAACATGACGCATTTTTTTGATAATACCGAAACCCGGTATTTGCTAGTTGTTTGAAGCTTTTGCTTTTTTTCTTGCTCTTTTGCTATTGCATTGGCTCTTAAAATCAGGATTTGATTTTTCTCAAAACGACACATTAAAAAAAATGAACAGATTCATCAATATGAGTCATATTGGTGAACAAATTTATAAATAGTCGGCTAAGAAAAAATGCCAAGTTAAGGTCATGATATATGTTTTTTTTTCTATTCTTGCTTCATATCTATGCAGTTTATTCTATTTTCAAAATATTCAACATAAAAAAAATAAAATAATCAATGTTTATTTTAGATCGATAATTTGCTTTAATAGTTATCATGGAAGAATATATTCCACTTGATGAGAATTCAGGACCATTGAATGATGAATCATTACCGCCGATTAGAGAACAATTGGATTTAAATAATGACCTAGAAAAGGATCGACAACAACAACAACAGCCACCGCTTTCCGAAAACCGACAAGCATCAAACAAAAGTATTGATTCATTAGCAGACGCTGAAACGGATCTTGGTGCTATTGAATCATTGCAATCAGTGTTAAACAGCGTTGTCAAGGTCTTTTGCACTTCAACACCATGCAATTTTAGCTTACCTTGGTAAGTTTACTCAAGAATTGTATTGTAGAAATTATTATTTCGTTCTACTGAATCAAGAATCATGATCATGCTTAATTAAAGCTCAACAAATGAAAAAAAGAAGCAGAAATTAATTCATTTAATTAGCTTTAGACAAATCTCTTTTGATCTTTGCATTTAAACAGCGGTTATAGTTTCCACTGACTTGAAAGATATCTTGCAAGGAACTGTTTTTAGTGTACGTAAGTATCACAGGATCTTGCTATGTTTCAACTAAGGAGCCGAGTTTTTGAGAGAGAAAATCTTTGAAAAACATAATCTAAACAAATATGTTCAAGTGAAAGTTTTCAACAACATATGCTTTATTTTTAGGCTAGCTAAAATATCGTAGAGAAATGAAAGTTATCGATTGATTGGATTGGTAGATGAATATTTTGTTGCGCTCGTGAGTCCTATCCAAAGTGAAAACTCTAGTTTTATCGAGCAGGTAGAACTTAAAGCATTTTTTAAATGAAAGTTGTGTCCGAGCTAATTTTTGAAGCAATCAAAATAATACCCCGCTATTTCCAAACAGGAACGAATCGGTGCAAAGTAAGCAAATGTTTTGCCATTCTAGGCAAGTGAAAAGTCAAGTTGTTGCAACTGCATCAGGGTTTATAATAAAAAATCGATGGATTCTGTCAAATGCTCATGCCGTTGCTAATCAATCGAGCATTCGTATTCGAAAACATGGCGATGCTAAAAAATATTCTGCACGCATAGTGCACATTGCACATGAATGCGATCTAGTTATTATGACTGTTGATGATGATAAATTTTGGAATAATTTGGAGCCATTGACATTCAGCAATGATATGCCTAGTTTACAGGAAGCATTAACAATTGTTGGCTATCCAATAGGTAAATGAAGTGTGCAGCCTCTGTTTTAGATGCTGATATGATTTTCTTGTGTTTATAGGTGGTGATAATATATCAGTGACAAAAGGTGTTATTTCAAGAGTTGTTATGGCAACTTACTCGCATTCACGTGAGGATTTGTTAACAATACAAATCGATGCCGCAATAAATGGTGGTAACAGTGGTGGACCAGCTGTTCAAGGTATGAAGAAACAGTAGAGATGTAGATACTGAACTCGACTTAAGCAATGTTACTTTGTTTTCTGCAAAGCAATGCTTCGTTTTATGTAGCAATATTCAATCCTCGCTATGTTTTACATCCATTAGGATGTCTTTGAAAACAACTTCTACTTTCCATCGATTTGTGTTTTTAAACTTTTTACATAGGTAAACTTGTCATTGGCATGTCATTTCAAGGTTACAATCAAGCCCAATTGATTGGTTACATTATACCTGTATCAGTGATCAAGCATCTACTAGATGATATCGAATTGCACAATAAATATACAGGGTTTCCTAGAATGGCCTTCCGATATCAATCAATGGAAAATTCGTCATATCGCGAATACTTAAAATTGAATAATGACCAACATGGTATCTTAGTAACGTCGGTTGAACCGGCATGTGTTCTTAGCAAGTTATTGCAGGAGGATGATGTTATCATGGAGATTGATGGTGTGCCGATTGCTGATGATGGCACAGTTCATTTTCGTCGTGGTGAAAGGCTTAGCTTCAGATATTTAGAAAAACTTAAATTTGTTGATGATACAGTTACATTTACAATTGTAAGGCAAGGTAAGTAATATAGAAATTTCTACTAAGATTTAGGGTTCAAGCTCGAAAAAAATATATAGAAGTCGTAAATCATTGTTATCATATTTAATTATTGAGGAGAAATTCGAGTACTATATTGAGATGGTAAATCAATGTTTTCAAGATTTTATTCCGCGATCTTGCCGAATGTCTTCGCATCTTCTCTCATATCAGCAGGGTTCTGTCAAAAATAAGAGTAAAAGTTTTGTCGATTCGGTTCGACTCGATTTAGTCCAAGAATTACACCTTAAAGCAACCCAAGTTCTAAATAGTACATACTGCACTTATCCATCCTGCTTGCTTATTTAGATATCTCATCTAGGAAATAAGTAGTCAATAATACTCTACCGTGACAAAACAATCTAGTATCTACTCGGGGGTTTTCTACATTACTTTCTTGAAATTTTTATCCACATGATAATCACATGAATGCATTGCATAGTATAAATGCACGCGAAAACATACTTAATGGTACTAAAGACAAATTGAGCCTACTTTTTTCAGTTTGGGTCGGTTTCGATTCCTTATTCATACTCACTCATAGTCGTCCATGAATGATGCATATGAAAAACTAACACGTGAAACAACTTTGATAACTTCCAAAAACTCGCATATAAACTCTTCTTCGACGGCGCCTTTTGCAATACTCTATCGAAATCAGTTCGCCTGAAATGTTTTTTTTATTTCTAGGAAAACAATTAACATTAACAAGTCGATTGGATAATAATCAAGAACTTGTTCCGTCACATTCACACGATAAATGTCCAGAATATTTAATTTATGCTGGAATTGTATTTACAGTATTAACACGATTTTATTTGTATGAATGGGGTAAACGTGACTGGTATGAAAAAGCTCCAAAACATTTAGTTGACTTAGCATATGAAGCTAAGCTACAAGAACCTGGCCAACAAATTGTTATTGTTAATCGAATACTTGTTGACGATGTTAATCATGGAGTGGATTCAGAATTAAAGAATTCTGTATTAAAAACTGTCAATGGCATTAAAATTAATAATATTAAACATCTAGCAGAGTTAATTGACAAAATATCAAAGAATGACGAAAATGGTTTTATTCGATTTGAAATGGACAACAAAAATGTTATAGTAATGTCATGTAAACAAGTCGAGAAATCGGAAGCAAGAATATTAAAACAAAACTCAATAGTTCAACCAAGAAGCGAAAATTTATGTTAATTTCTCTTGACATATTCTATCATATAATCTAGACGAATCAATGATGAATAACTATAATGAATAACTTTTCGAACGCTCTTTCATTTTTCACATAACGAGCGTTGCCAAAGTTCCTGGAAAAAAAGTTGGCGCATATTTTTCCGCGATTGTGAATGCTAGCAGTCGTAATCTTTCTTTTGCATTTGAAAGATTTGATTGTCTTTTGCAAAAAGTATACATTTTTCGGAAGTTCTTTCGAACGTCGTCCATCATAGTGAAGATTTATGAGGTGTCTTGGCTTGATTAGTATACGAAGAAAATCTGAAAGCAGATACTGTAAAACAACTCGAAGGTCGGATAAGGAAAACCAGCTGAAAGAAGGCGACACATCAGTTTTACAATGGACAAAGTTCCAAAGAAGTTCAGAAAAGTCTATACCAGTTGCATTTTTTTAACTTGTCATTAAACTTTTTTTTTTGTAGGAGACGATAAAATCTTTCAAATAAAATAAATGAAGGCGTCTATCAATGAGAGTAGCAGAAATGTATATTTCTAATTTTTTCTTGAAAATTTTGCGACACCCGTTAGATTAAAATACAATGCAAAAAAAATCAATGTTCATTTTTCGACTGCATACGTCAATGGATGATTTTGAATTTGGAGATTCACCATCAGCTGAATATTAACATTTCATATCATTAGAGAATGCTAAATTCAACAAAATCATTTGAAGAAATATCCGTAGCAGACAAATTAATATCTCTAGGAGATGCCATCTCATCAGAATATTCTGAATTACCATATTTTCGTTGCATGTTATCTGGTATGTCTCGAGAAATCCTAACAACGTTTCTAAAATTTTCTTCAGTCTTTTTACTTGTCCAGCGCGCATGTTCTTCGATATAGCGTTCATGAGCAATTTTCTTTTTAATATGTTTTGGTACATCCGATGTAAGACATTCTATCAGATAAGTAATAAAGGAGACGAGCTGTTGAAAAACAAGAATGAATGCAAGACGAGCAGCTGTTACATTCCAATAAACAGTAGTGTGAGAATAATATGGACCAATCGATTCACGAAAATCTCGATAGCTATGATTTAAACAAAAAGACAATTCAGTAATAATCAAAGAAAGAAAAAAACACACGATTTATCTTACCGACAATACGCAAGATCACTTGGTACATCCGATGGCATCAAACCTGTTGCATTATAATCTGATATAGGAAAATATGAAAGTGTCCAATTAACATAACCAACCAAACTGATTCCTGTTGATTGTAAAGTACGATAAGACATTTTCGGAATAAACTCCGATGTCCAAGCAATTATTACTGCCTAAATAAAAAAAAGTACGTGTATATACCGCTGGAAAAACTAAGCGTTCGTCAGCATCCCGAGGATATTGTTACCCAAGGAACATATATTTTAGAAAGTAATAAACAATTGAGTGTAACGCAGGCATTCTGAAGTCGAAATTACCACAGACTTGAGTTTTTCACTGTCATCAAAACCAGTTTTAAAAATTTTTGATCCTTATAGAAAGAATTTTTTGAAGAAGCTGCTATAGATTCTGATAGAGCTTGACATTCTCCATCATCCTGCATATTGATGAATTATCATGCAGCTACACATTGAGCACATAAATGAAAGGCAAAACAAAAACATGTGAATTGATAGAAAATTTCTCTTTCGATCAGAATATATATGATAATTATTTTTCTAAAAAAAAGTAACTTTATCGCAATGAAAAATTCATTTTGGTAACTTTGCAAAGATCATGTCTGTGGGAATCTCGACTGCAGGTTGGCTTCATTGCGTTCAATTTGATTTGGCAATGAATAGATTTATACTCAAAGCTAATTGAACACTGGTGATAGAAAAATTCACGGGAATATTTACGTTTGTTAGGACAGCTAAATGTGATACAGCTGCAATAATGTCGTTCCATATTCCGATATCAGATGCTTTAAATGGAAGAGGTCGTTTATATTTAGTTAATAATTTCCACGCATCCAAACGTAATTCAATTAAATTGTTGATCAATGCACATAAAGGTGCTAATCTATAACAGTCGGCAAAGGAGTAGAATTAAGAAATACATATATAATTATTAAATGCGATTATCACCGAATTAAAATGTGAAGTACAATATAATGACTGTTGTTAATCACAGAAAGGTTGTCTCGTGCTATTTACACATGATACTAGTGTTGATTGTAGGCGAGACATAGGTGTTGTTTCGATTTTTCTGCTCACTCATACTTTTATCTTTTTCTTTCTCGTAAAACTGTATGTGCAGACAATCGATTGTGTTCTCCGCTATTAATGCGTAACTTTTATTCTTTCGCAAACCTGATTGACAAATACCTTAACAGAAACAGGTAGATAACATGCAAGACACTTTTGTTTTTGCGAGATTCTGGTCTTCTCACGCAGAGTGGAGGATCTGTACAAGAAATTCGTTTCTAATTAATTATACAAATCAGCGTGTGTTTTACATTGCGCTGCAAAGCAAGAAAAACGGACAAGTTTACACTTACGGAAAAGCGGCAACAAATAAAGTAACGAAACCAAATTGAATGACTAAATGAAATGCATTTATGTAAAAAATTATTTCTATATTGAATGTAGAATAACAAACCTAATTTAAGATATTCATCAATTAATACTATTGAATTGAGATCATATAAATTTCTATCCTTTTCCCATTGCTCTAATGTGCTGTCATCGCGGCTGCAGCATGCGCGCTTAATAGTGCCGAACATTGCCATAAAGAATTCTACTATACCAATTACGATTTGTTGACCAGTCATGACTATTTTTTAAATGGATAAATTAATTCTCTTTTTTCCTATAAAAAAAAACAATGATTCTATGCATTCGTACTGACAACAAATTGAATAGAAAGATCAACAAAACAGCCAGCTGGATCGCACTAAATGAAAAAGAAAAAACCTTTAAGAAAAATATCGCAACTGAATAAATAAATACCTGTTCTTGAAAGCCTGTTGAATTTGGTTCGCCATACTTTGATGGGTATTCGAAAAATCTACAGAGAATACATTGCGAAAAAACAAATTTCAATATTATCTTATTCTTACCGTCCTTTAAAATAAGCTATGTAAAATAATGATGAATAATAGTTGACAAATTGGAAAATGTATATTTTTACTGTTAATGAATCATCATATTTTGATTGATATTTATGACATTCTAAATCTAACTCGAATAAAGAGCAAAACAAAAATGAAAATTTCTTACCGAGATCAGTTAATTTTTGTGCAACCCAATAATATAACAAAGATAAGGCAATCGAACAAATCAGATTCATAATAGCACTGGTTACAGTTATTATAATTGATGAATACGCTTGCACCGAGGTGTTGTTCAAAATAAATCCCATTTGAACACGATAGACAATTATCGCAAATAGAGTGGTACATGAAATTGAAATCTAAACAATCAAATTGATTAACAGTTGTATTTTGAAAAAAAGTATACTGTTAGTGCAATGCTTATGGGATTAAAATTTACAGCGGAGCTAATATTATCCATATAATAAATGTGGAAACTTCGGATTTCATCCGAAAGCTATGTGTACTGCAAAAAGTACATGGGACATATGAGTCATTCTAGAATGTCTGAACACCAAAATTACCATGAGAAATTAGGCACTTTGGTTTCTGGATGCAGTTTTTGTGCATTTTGAGACCGTTTTCAGGCGATGTTTCGTTAGAAAGCTACGATTTAGTTCAAAACTAGTATCAAATTCGGAATCAGCGTTAAAAACTGAGTCGATTTATATATGTTGTGAATAATTCTGAGAAAAAAACTTTTTTTTTCAAAAAATCTCTGTACCCCCCCCTCTCAGGGATGGTCTGGTCAATAATGACAATTTTTTCGATAACTCAGCCATTCCTTGACAGATTGCTTTCATCTTCGAACTCGACTGAGATATTAATGAGATCATTATGTGTACAAAATTTCATGACAATTGGATGAGGCTTTCAAAGGTTATCGTGTTAACGGCCGGCCGGACACACTGACCGATTCTATAGTGTACTCACTTTTTTTGAGTACACAAAAAAAAAGAAACAGCGACTATTTTTTGAATTACTTTTCAGAGGAACAAGGTAACGATGTGGGGTTTTCAACATACATACTAAAACCTCATTAGCTTGAAACGAACCCATCATATGCATTCCCGTGAATATTTTGGGATCTTCTCTACGCGTGTCTTGACTTTTATTAATTGGTTCGACAGAAAAAATTGTTATTTTTCGATCTAAACCCAGCCTAACCTAGCTAGTTTCCTTCAAGAGTTATAAGTTTTTTCCTGAGATCTCTGGTATCCACCTGGAATCCCGTCGAAAGTCATCCGAGGCGATGTAATGAGTCGGTCAAATGGTAACATTAGTTTTTGGATTTGCAATTATCTTACAGTTTTTTTTCAAGAATTTTCCACAATACATAATTACATCCCTTACATAGCATCACAGAAGTCTACATTTCGAAAATTTCATTAGATATCAGTTTGCGTTGACGCAACAGAGTCTTGACTTTCGTATGGTGAAAATCCCACATCCCTATTTTGTTCCTATCAAAAGTGATTCAAAAAATAGCCATCGTTTCTCTTCGTTGAAATGGACAATAGCTATTGTTCATAAATAAATTTATTCTAATGAGATGATGCAGCGATAATCGGTCTACGACCTTATAGCAACCGTATTCGTTTTGGCCAATGATAGTCACTGAAGGCGAGTGAATACAATTAATGATCTTATGCACTTCAATGGTATTTTTAAGTCGCTTTGTACAAAGAAAACAATTATAATTATGATTTTTAAGTACCGTAAATAAAACAACAATAGTTGTAATTAAGAAGAATGGCACACGTTTGCGAATTGGTATAGATGATTCTATTTCCTAAATAAAAAGATAAACATATATAATTAATAAAATTATATATGGAAAACAATACATTTGTAACAGGATTATTCGTCTTTAGGCCTTTTTTGAGTGCTTCTTTTTCAAATTTCGGTCGAATAGGTTCAAAATGTTCTTGAAAGTCAATTGAATCCTTTGTAATAATTAAAAACGACATAAGTATTTCATTTAATTCAAATTTATTATCTACCCAATCATATTGTAAGACTGCTTGATGACGTTTCCAAAGTTTCACAAACAATCTTATTAAGTATGCAAAACAAAATTGTATACTAACAAAACACAATTGACTTTTCATCTCTTCATACCTTCCCCATATCGACATAAATATAGCAAAAACAAGTGTTGCTGCATTATCAAATACATAGGAAGCCTAAAATACTCTGAGCATTATAAATAATAACGCGACAATATCTTTTCAATACATTCGAATAAATACAACTGTCGCTTAGTCTCCAAAATGGACATTCTTTATCACATCGTGGACACATATATGTTGTGTTTCCAAAATTTCCACAAATATCAGATCTAAAACGATGATAAAATATTAAAGAATTCGTACTCGAAAGAAAAAAAACGTATACGTTGGCTGATCCGTCGCAACAGTAGCTGCACCATAAATAAAGATAATAATGCCAACGATCGAAGGCAGAATAAGTGTTTGATTATAAAAACCAATAAATGCAAAATAAAATGCAATTTTTTCCCCCATATACGAACGAACTAATAATAAAGGTTGAAATTTTAAAAATTGACGCATTGTTGCCCAATATTTTTTCAGTTTCTATTGGTTACCAAATAAATTATGAGCTCAAATCGAGATTAGTTTATGCTTACTTCTCGATCGCCTAAATCTCTATTATTAGCATCTGTCACATTATTTCGTAACGCCTTGGACTAATCAATAAAGAAAAAAATATAAATAAAATCAATTCAGATATAAAATTTCGTAGTTTACCTCATGTAAAGGAAAGTAAGTATCATATACTCTACGAGCTATTAATCGATCAAGGCCTGAAATATTTTAAAGAATAAAATAATTACTAATATTTTTTTTTAAATTCAATCATAGACAAGAACGTTTAATGTTAAAATTTGAAATTGAAACTTTCAACGGTCGTTTCTTTATCATGGTAAATGCTAATGTAAATCAACAATTTGTCAAGTTGAGTATGGGCTAGTTGAAAAGAACATGGCAATATAGATCCTCGATAACTTATTCTTAATTAGGGCGGGGTAGCCGTCACTTCTTACACCCACGCCATACTTAGGCATATTTTCATCACATGAAGTTGATTCACTTAAACTGGCTCGAAGTAGCGTGACTTGGCTCGCCGAGCTCTGTGAAAGAACGTTCTTCAACACGAACATGTTTCAATCAGCTCGTTCATAGGTATCCGCTGGACAACCGTTTTTAGTCCTGGTCCTGGTTTCGGTTCTGATCTCAGTCCCATTTCTGGTTAAAACTTCGTATAGTTTTTGATTTTCACTCTTTTTTCTCTAAAAATGAGTAACTTTTTACATTTATTTCTGTAATCACCAATAGTAAAATTGTTTTTTTTTCGATATAGTGCTTCACAACAAACATGCGTTTACCAATTTACAGTTGAGCCCGAAAAAGCTTTTCAGCGCAGCCCCGTTGGGACTAAAATGTGGAACTCACATATTTCGGTCAGTTAGATACTGACCAAATAGAAGTTTTATTTTTTCAGTGTAGTAAGATCATATTTTGTTCAAAAATAAGATAATAAAACCTTTTTAACATTTGAAGCTTTTTGAATCTATCAATAGGAAAAATTACTAGAGAGAACGTATAAAAAACTTTTTGTTTAGAACATGTCGGTATGCTGAAGTGTTTAGTGGTTTCACTGAGAAATATTCTGAATGATAATAGTTTAAACAGTATTTAGGATATAGCTATCAATATTGTTGAGAAATTTATATTTTTTCGTATTATCAGGTGAGAAATTGATACATTTTTTCATACAAGAAAATTTGATAAAAGCTTCCCAGTGGATGGAAAAGTAGCGAATTGCAAATACACTAAAGTGGATTCAAGCTCTAGAATAAGGTATCTGTATGAGAAAAAAAAATATTAAAATCTTCATCTGTTTATTGTAGGTGGTAGAAGTAACGAGTGTAATAGTAGCATAAACTAGTTGCTAGCTTCTGTAGCGGTAGCATACACTCGTTGTGAACGTCTTTAATAATAATAAAATATAATACTGTCGTAACTATGGGCTATAATAATAAAAATATGCGCTATTATCGTAACTATGGACTATAATAATAAAAACGACCGATTTTGATGATTAATTAGAGACTAAATGCTAATTATAATGATTTCTAATAAGTGAAACTAGATTTTTATTAGCGATGTGAGTAGTGGTGAACATAGGCAATCCATCTGTATAAAAATCTTATCTAATTAGTGCACCGAAGTGTTAGTTTTTTTATGTTTTATGTCTGTAATGGGGAGGGGGGGGTGGGGTACAAGGGAGCCGCAAAAACCTAACAATTCAACTTACACTCACTATTTTCTTCGAAAATATATGTGAGTTCCACAAGAAAAACCACTACAGCTGTTGAATCACATTTGTCTATATTACATTAACACATATATATGTACAAAGCTAACAATAGCATTGAAAATCTCGATTGGCGCTTAAAAATTCTTAGGCACAACAAAGCAATAAGGAGGGAACCCTAGAGTTTAATATTCTTGAAACAAGTTAATAGCACAATCCTTTCCAGGATTGAAATGTGAAACACGGTGCAACTGTTGTTACTAATCCTATAAAAATTCCATTTGTTTATGTATATCGGGCCGTATTTATTCATTATTGCTTTCGTTACATTAGAGAACGTCCATAAAGAAATATTCCACATACATTCCAGTTACATGTTAGTTATGGATGATGTCCTACAGGTCTCTGGACCTTGTCTGTCAAGATCTGTGCGAAGAAGGGGTACAAATTTCTACCCTATATACTTCAACGCTGCTTTCAGATCGTGTTTCAAAAAATGTGTAGGCGTCGGCTCCGACAGATCCAGGGTACTTCCATTTTTTAGATCTCTATTTAGATTTTCTTAAATCTAGTATAATAAGCACTAAATGTGTGATGGGTTTCCTTGAATATTTATCAGTAGATAATCATTATTTTGACGATAAAGTTGAGAGTAAAGATGTTTAAAAGAGTCTCGTAAAGAAAGAATGCATTGCAAACAATGAAGGTTTGTTACTATATTTTTTTTTCTTTCTGTGTTGGGATCCATATTGACCTTCAGTACATTTGAAGTAAAACAAAATTTTAATTGTGCCGTGTAAGCGAAAGAATATTTCTCACCCTCAACTGATATTTTAATGAATAGAAAATTTTTGCGGAACCCACTAAAAAAATGTTTGGTCCCGTAATTGATTTCGCCGGGAACAGAACCACTTTGCAGTTTCCTGCTCGTACAAAACGCGTTCGTGAAATGAGTTCTTAATTTGTTCTTTAATCGTTCGCCTCGATCGGCGTAGATCATAAACGTGCGCAAAGTTGCGATACACATCGATAGCACTCTCTGTCAAAAACGATGCAGATTCAATCTCCCTCAGTGTGTCAGATGTTGTAATAGTTACTATATAAAATCGAGAATGAAACCTCAAGTCATACCAGGTCGTTGTAAATTCGATTCTAAGGCACGAATTGTATCCAAAGCTAAAGTTGATAACAAAACTTATAGATTAAGTTCTTCTTTTTGAAATTTCAATAACCTTCTGGTCTTGCTATTGATCCCTGTACATGAACATTGCCTTCAATATGATCAAAATGTTCTTTTGATAACAATTCATATGTCAACAGACTTCTTTCACCCGGTGTAAAATAGAAATCTCTTGAGCCACCACGTAATTTATCAAATAAAGTTCGAAATTGCTCGATATCTGGTGAATATACTGCTTTATAATAATCAATATCATCTTGCGATATTGATGAATCGAGAAGAAATTGTTTTTTAATCGAATTCATGAAACGACACCAATATGATTCCCTTAATCTTGAATGATGTGTTTTGTTTTTCTTTATTTCCTATGTGAATACATATAAAAGAAAATTAATAAATTCAGTTTATCATCGTAATTACTTCAAATGGTAATTTCATTCGTGAATTTTCTGCCATTAATAAAAGAGCATCAAATGGTGCATGAACTTTAACATATTCAGTCTGGCCAGTAGATGCTTTCTATTCATTAAGACAAAACGAAAAACAATAGTATTATAGATATTTTTTGTATTACCGCATGTTCAAGAATAAGCCCTTGTTTACTAGTGAGATAGTGCTCAAATTTATATCTTTGTTCAGCTATACTCATTATTGGATGTCCATCATTATTCGGTTGTTGATCATTATCGGTTGTTTTATTAGTGTAAACAAGAACAAAATCAATGGGCAAGGATTTGCGGCTTGGTTTTGATGAATATAAAAGAGAAGGTCTCTGGCAAAGTTCGGGGTTTTCATGTATGCTATATTTTCGAGAGCCATTTGACGACATTTCTAGAAAAATAAAAAGTTATTTCAATTAGTATAGTGCTGATGTATTTGTTTTTGGAATATTTTACAACGTTTATTTCTTTATATGTAACCTGTAAAAAAGGAATTTTCTTCTTCTTTCTTACCACGCTCTTCTGTCGATAGCGACAATCAAAGTACATTTTACATCATACGATCATTTTATATTTTCTCAACATCTGAAATTGTATAAATGACAATAAAACATTTACGTTAACGATCATTCATAACAACAAAAAAGTACGAAAACATTTTTCTATACGCTTTTCATCTAAACATTTTCTCGAGAATATTCGTTATTCATTAGACTTCTGGAAAGAAAAAGATTTTACAATAATTTTTCTTGAGAGTGTGGGTGTTACCACAAGAGCGGTGTCCAGTTCACACTCAATTTTATAGGAAAATTCCTTATGTACTGATCAGAACAAAAATTGGACAAGAAGCTGTTGAATAGATAGACTAGAGAATAACAATTTGTTTTTATTTAGATGAAGGAACATTTCGACGACAAACTAAATATCGCATTCTTGTATTCAAAGACGGTCTTAATGAAGCATTATGCAATAGATATGTATTAATATATTTGGGTGTGGGTGTTGGTAAGGGTGTCTAGATTTGAGAGTAGGCGAGCCACACCCAAGAGAGAGAAAACTAAAAACGACGTTCAATGAAGGAAAAAAATTACCTGCGGACTAATATTTGATCGATGTATACCAACTGAGGCAGATGGCTAGTAAGTGTAGCCAGAAGGAATTGATTGATTTTCGCTAATCTGATATCACGGAGAAAGCAATTTTTCAAAGCAATTTTTATGAGATTGAATTGGGAGGGCTAGCAGAGATGCTTTAACTGTAAATAAAGGTCTTATCGATGTCGCTCATGAATGATCACTGTCTAGAAAGCAGCACTACAGTGTAAAGTTTATTTCAATCTATGTCAACAGTAAAAAAGTCATCAACAAAAACGGATTATATTATAGATTGCGAGTTAAAACCCTTGAAAATCCTAAGCAGTGTATACATATCTCTTCTTACCACACGGGAACAACTGCCTAGAAGACAGTTTATCTTTTGCTTAAACTTCAAGTCTAACCTATCATTGAATAAAAGTCACAAGTGCATTTATGGAGTCCCGTGACTTTGCTCTTGTATTGTAAGCATGCCTGATTATATTACTCTTTTTATCTATAAGTATCGTCGAGACACTAGAGGATGGGTGTGGACGTGGCGTGAATGGAGAAGTCTACACCCACACACCGTAAAGATCGAGAAAAATAAGATGAGAGAATATGATCAATGGTATTGATCGTTGTTTGTCCTTCTGTGGTTTTTCATTAAAGATATGCAACTGCTTCAACCGAGGAAAACTTTGAAGAACTTGTACTCAAACGGACATAAGTCCGTCATCAACAGAGATTGAACATTATCAAACATGCCACCTTGAAAAGATTTATTTAAATAATGAAAAGTTTTGAACTAATATCGAAGTGAATAGATGTGACATTTAAGTTCATTTTCTCTTGCGAAAGTTTCAACATGTCAGCCAACTGGTCCATATTGTTTTCTGCTGAAACCACACTGAATATCTTCATTCGACGAAAAAGCAATTTAAGCATTCTTCTTGTCTACATTTGTGTATATATTAAAAGTAAATTTGTTTAATCGCGGCATATGAATAAGAATATCATCATATAATTCTTGTTACTTATTATTATTGACAGATTTAATATCAAATTTTCAAGATTTATCATTCGCCGCAGTAATTAAATTATCGTATAAAAGTATGTGTGGATACGATATTAAGGAAAGGTGTTTCAATTTGGAAAGATTTTTCTATGAACAAAATCAAATAAAGTATGTTTCATTATCGAAATTAAGTGTTTTTTCTCGAAAGGCAAGAATTGGCAATTGTACTAACTGTGTTATCGAAAGTTCCTGATGTGTATGCAATTATTTTTACACATATAATCAATGTTGATGAACAATTGAAACGCCCATCAAGTAGATAAAGACAATCATCGAAATTTTTCACAGTAATTTTCAATGAAGTCAAAGTTGAAGACTTGTCATTGATTGATGATAACTCAAAAGTACAGCGTGTGGATCGATGAAACAATTGACAAAAACTTAATTTGGCTAATCGTTTACATAAAGATAAAATCAAAGCAAACATAACCGAAAGAGTTTCAGGAGATGCGTCTGTTGGCTTATCCTTCACATCAATTATTAACTTATCTTTAATGATTTCATTATTGTATTAAATAGTTTATACTTGTTAAGCAATTGAAAAGTACTTTTTCTGGAAAATCCAGAAGTGTTAACGAGTAAAGTTGAGGATAATTGATATTATGAAGAACACGCTCCGTTGAATATTGTTCGACAATGAGCTCATTTACCTGATGATAAATTCTAGGTGAGATATTTTTACAAATTCTATCAAGAACTTGATGGTCTATTGAACAGCTACGATCATAAAAGAATTTTATCGTCGTAGAGGTCATATTAAGATTACGAATATACAATGGATCAAATCATCGACGAATATCGACAAATGAGTACAGAACGTCGACCATATTCAGTTTGTTAAAAATAATGAATAAAATTTCATTCGGCAAATCGAGTATATTGAGGTGATTGTTATTCGAAATGTTCACGTATAATTCATTCAGTTCAATTGTTCATTTATATTGATATATTTTTCTTTCTCACTACCGCATCTGAGAGAACAATGAAAGATAAAAACTCATGCCGTAACAATAGGCTATCACAGATAGATGCTGCCATTTTTCTTTCCGCCAAGCATGCTCTTTCGTTCATTGACAGGCCATTCTGTTTACACGATCTGACTTGATATTATATCTGATAGACTGAAAGTAATCTTTCCCGAATCCTACTGTTACATTAAAATATTTTTGAATTCTGACTTAAAATTGAATGCCAACATTTACAATACCATTTGAGGTTCAAGATCTGCCAGACGAATATCTCACTCATCTATTCATATCTAGGTACTATAATATAAAGAGACTTGAAAGTTAAGTAGTCTTCATCTAAATATCACATTTGAAAAGTTAATAATCAATGTATGATCTCTCTTTGTTGATAATTGATCGCCAAGAACAAGTCACTGTTATCACTAACCTAGTTCTAACGTTGGGTGTAGGTGTGGGTCTTCATCTTCTCCGAAACAACACCCACACACCCACCCTAGTTTAAATAGCAACAGAAAAATCGAATAGCCTTGAAAAAACTGTTAACATAATGCCTTTGTGATTAGAAACGTGAGACATTAACCACCTGTTGTTAGTAAACACATAAAAACTCTTTCATTCAATATCCCTTTTCTGTAACCACATAGTGCATCTTTTAATAGTCGCGAACTTTAATAATGAAACTGTTGATATATTTGATGAGATTTCAACGTCTTATAAATGCCAGTCTTTCATATAAGCTGTGTCTCATTGCCTGGGATGCTTCTGGAATCCGTCTCTAGCGATCTGTAGAGAATGGGGTGGAATGCAAATTTCTGCCTTTATATACTTCAACACTCCTTTCAGTTCTTGTTTCACAAAACTACACAAGAATGAAAGACTAGATAGAATTGAGCCTATCCAAGCGTATCCTATTCCAAACTTGCATACATAGATATGGAACCAACAGCTAAAATCAAATGATATATAATCTTTTGCTGAAATTATTATTCTCACGCAATTACTATTAAATGATGATGTGTGTGACTGAAACGTAAGCACGCAGCTCACAGCTTGTCTTACTGGAATGCTGGCTTAATCAAAATAGAATTTACTTTTGCTTTTGTTTTCTTGTAAGCTATTAAAATGTCTGTCGTATGCAACCCAAATAAAAAAGGAGACTGACGATACATTTTTTACTTTTTTGTACATGACGAACTAAAGAGAATTCATTGAAAGAAACGGCAAAAAAACAAAACAATTTATGAAATATGAAATTCAAAGTAACAGTACTTCAATCATTATGCAAATGAAAAACAAGTATCAGATGGAAAGAAAAATAATGCAATAGTATATTGTTCTTTTGTTTTACTCTCTTATTTACTGTTCGCTGCCATATTTTCGATAGCAACGACGCGCGGCTTGTCTAAAAGTGTCAACAACAAAAAAACAGCAGTAATCTAGCATTTAGTCATTCTTACTAGTAGCAGCCATCACAGTTTCAAATAGGGTACCACTGACAAAGGCTTTCTTCCCGAAGATTTTTCCTTCTTTTTTTATTATAGATAATGTACCATGCACAACTAGTAGCAAAAAATGTTGGTCCCTAAGATGTCATCACAAATACGTCGCTATGAAGAAATCTATTTACGATTCGATAGAAAATTTTCTTCTCCTTCAAATCACATACGATTTATTTGTACAGAACACTCTCAAGTAGAAAGGTATGAAAAGAAATAGAGGCATCCGTAAAATTGCTTTGTAGGTTTTGTATAATTCATAATAATAATAAATAGTAGGAGTGTAATGGTGACGGTGACTCACCGGTTCACCACTTACTGGTAGCACCGGCCCCCCCGTTCACCTGCCCAGCGGCCTGCGGTTCACCGTATCCACTGGCTACCAGGTTATACGACTGAGCTTCAGTTTTAAACCTCCTTCGTCGAATTTCTCCAAATTCATAAATTACTTCTATTCGCTCCTAATTGACAACAAGGTATAAACCCGAAAGCATGCGACAATCCACATCTTCCTACCCCTACATCTTCTATATTTCCACTACAATACATCAGAACATAAGACATACTTTTGTCAATAACAAGAAGATTGCGCCTCCACTAATGCTGGCAACAAGCCGAGCACCCTTTACAAGCCGCAGGTCTGACTTACTATTCCGTTTTATCAGACGTGATAACAGTTGTGGATGTCATCCACTTCCTTCCATATTCACTCTGATTTATGTAAAACTAGCATCATCAACTAATTGAGACATAACAAGGCCGCTCAAAACCTACAGTTTTCTTTCTGAACAGCCCATCATCATTTCACGCTAAAAATCAAACATACAGAGATAAATCTAGTAAAAAAATGGCTTCTTTCACTAGAAGTTCGAATCCTTGACCTATTTCACGTCATTTTAATTATTTTTAATGTTACCAATCGATAGAGCTTGAAAATTAAACTTATGGTCCGAATTTCACGTTGCAGTAATAGTGACTTCATAAACCATCATAGGGAGTAAATTCTATTTGCTAAAGAAAATATGAAATTTTGCTTAGAAATCACTATTTTGGTTCCAAATACTATAGTGTAGGATTGTAAAAAGTTCAGATTCGTATAGAGCGCAAAATTATGAATTCGAAAATGCGTTGCCCATTGAATTTGAGCGAATTAGAATATTAGAAGAGCCAAAATAATGACGAATGAGTTCAAAGAGTGATTAGAAATATTTCAAGAATGAATGTAGTTTTAGAGGTCTGATGATAATATCGGCACCACTAAATCTTCAAGCTTTTATGATTTCAGCTGATCAACAAAAAAAAATTGTACTCAGGATACCTGAGAGGTACCACAGGCACGAAAAGTGTGAATGCAGCTTTTCGAGGAATAGACCAGATAAAAATGATCAGAATCAATTATGCATTCGATGGCATACAAACGCTCTCGCTCATGAGCGTGAGCTGCACACCCCTATTTCAAAGTACTTGGTCGTACTTTTTAAGATACTTGATGGTAGTTTAAAGGAGCTAGATTATACTTTAATGATACTTGAAACTGCATTGTGATAGTTTTAGTGTACTGGTAGCTACTTTTCCACTTTCATTTACTTTTGTACTTCAAGTACGCGATTTCCCCCTTGTTTTTTATCAAAAAATACCAGTATGCACCTTTTTTCGAAACAAAGCAAGCAATAGGAAACAGTGTTTTCTTCGAAAGTAGAAAGTTTTAAGCTTATAAAATATATTAGTTCATGATAACTTGCCAGACATTGGTAGTCCGTGTAGTATGAATTCATGTTAGAAGAACTGATGAGATATACTGAGCCCGAGCTTGTAAAGCAGTTTCAAAGACCATATAATTACGAAAACAGTGGATAGGATTTTCCACATGAAATAAAGAGTGATTCTCTTTTTTTCCTCAGGACGAACGTAACTTTCGCAATAACTAAGCACGCTCTCTTACGAAAATACAACCAGCAATTTTTTGCCAATCATTTTCAAGAGTTCCCACTATAGTGCTGAATCGCTCAAACTCGAAGACAAATAAATAATATGTCATATCTTTATTGCTCCGCGCCCTTTACGCAGAGAAGAACAATTGGACTGCTTTTCAACTAATGTTAAAAATATTTGTCGAACATTTTTTAACGGTGCATTCATTTCAAAATAATTGATGTTCAATTAGTCCTTACCATACACAACACTTATGAAAACACAGGGTACAAATATTGGAAATACTTCAAAATCCGATGACTTTTGCAAGAGTTCCAAGGAATCCTTTAACATCAATTTGCTGATTTTAAAGTGATCTAGATCGACATTTCGCAGAGCTTTTTATACTGTCGAGGTGATCAAGTTCGAAATCAACTTTGGTAGTCGATACAAAAGAAAGAGTATCCGAGAAACCACATGTTTATAAGCTCATAAAGAGGGGCAATTGTATAGCATGCATGATACTTCTTCGTGCCCATTTGTATTTGGGTAACAGTCTCTTCGTAATCAGTATTTATACTACTAGTGGTGACTCCTCGAAAAAGCATTGTTCTAACGAGTATAATACTTAGTTTTAGCGCTTCTAATTTTCATATGGAACATTAAACGGGAACTTTTAATCATCTAGATTATAAATAAGCATTGTTCTGACGAAACTATTGAACTTATGGCGTCTAGCAAGCTCAAAAAATCGAGCAACACAATCTCAGAAGAAAATCAAAAACGATTGTTGAGTCGATACGATAACAATGACGTACTCAAACACGCACAATTAGCGATGGATAGTTTTGGAGACAAGAAAAAGAAGTTACGGCAGCGAATGTACGTGCAACCTATCGGTCAAATATCTAATTTTGAGGAACTTAAGCATTTCAAATCATATAACAATGAAATTGTTGAACAATACCTTGAACAGGCGCTACTCTATGAGAATGAGGCGTCATTGCGTGAGAAACGTGACGAGTATGCTATTATTGAAGATGACTTTGGACCACTATTAGAAAAAAAGTTAAAGGATGGTGCACCTCTATCGTTTGAAAATCTTCGGAAAGCCTGTCAAAAATTGGATGAAAATAGCGATGTGCATTATCAAAAGAGTAACCAAACATACGGGTATTTCGTAGAACGAGGAATTTCAGAAGAGAATGCAAGATCCTACGCTATGGCCATCGCATTTTATTCGGGTGGATACAGTGCGCTGGTGAGCACATCAGCAAACTACGTTGTTCGAATGGAAAGAAAGGTAGCTGAAATGTATACAGATGATGAAAAGCTCAATAGTCATGCGGTGATGCTTATGCATTACCTAATTAAAGGACTCTCTCATATTGACTTCTACTGGGGTGTTGTGACGCGATACGTCGACCTGGACGAAGATGACCAGAAAGATTATAAACCTGGCGAAATCCTGACTTGGCTCCAGTTCAGTAGCGCAGACAAAGGTGGGCAGGATATGATCCATTTTAAGGAACGAAATACAATTTTCAAAATAGCCTCGCTCACTGGTCGAGCTATACAATACTTTTCCAATTGTGGTGACCAAGAAGATGAGGTTCTTTTTCTTCCACATTCATGTTTTCTTGTATGCCAAGTAATAGAGAGCAAACCTCAAAGGCAAATATTTCTGCGACAGGTAGGCCATACGTTTACATACAGTTAACTAGTTAAAAATACACATTTTGATCTTGCAGATTGAGTTGGGTTTAAGTAAATACGTTATCTTGTGGGTTGACGACAATATTTTTGATGAAGATTGGGGAAATAAACGACTCATGGAAAGGGCAACCACTCAAGGAGCTCGTGTTAATGTTCATTTCATTCCAAAATCAAACACAGATTCAGCACTATCGTTTCTTCGTTCCGAGTTTGGACAGCGTATGAAGGAAAAGGAGTCATTTCGTATTGTGACTGATATGAAGCGGACAAATGAGAACGATCCTAGTACGGCGGGTGCCCGACTACTATTGGAAGTGCGCAAACTGGGTTTTCGTCAGTCCTGCTTAATATTTACGGGTCATGAAGGGTCAGCATACGACAAGCTGAATAAGATGTTCGGCACTGATCGACCTCAAGGCATTAAGGTAACTCAATATGAATCCGAACTGGAAAAGTTTGTCCTTTTCAAACGCTCTTGAACTACATACCAATTATAGACCCATATGTTTTATCGAGAATGTATTGCACACAAATGAAAAGCTTTGGATGAGGGCGTGGGTGAGGATGTCAGTATATTGAAACATCGTTTTAATAATCCGTCAATCAACAAATTTTCTCAAAAGATGCTTCGAAAGAATAAATCATGGCAATCCTTTGCAGTGGTTAAAGAAATTTGTTTTTCTGGGATTTACTTAGGGGCATCCAAAAAGTAGTGGCAACGAGATTTTAGTAATGCTCTTTCTTTCTATACCATTTGATCTTACTGCAGTTACCATTCATAACGATAAAATGCTCATAAAACTGATTCGCTGGACAAGTGTCTCGGTTACCGACAGTTATATTGTTTCCAATATGCATCCGTTTTTGATCTTCTCTTTGTTTTTCTTCTTTTTTTCTTGCCTCTTCTCAAACTCTATCGTTTATTATATGCATACCGAGATTCATGGCTCATTTATGTACATGTGCCGTATACTATTCTACTCTATCGAAAGAGAGCGAAGTACAGTTAAGTCGAACTGTAACATCATTCATTTTTGTTTTCGATGGATAAAGAAAGTTTTCGTTTCTACATTGAAGTAAAAACTATTTACGACGAGCTACGTACTGTTTTTGGTGATGAAGCCCCTTTTCATCGAATAGCTATAAGATGGGCTGTATGGTTTCGTGAAGGTTGAGAAGAATTCGAAGATCAAGAACGCTCTGAAAGACCTGTAACTGAGAGTACACTCGAAAATATCGAAGAAATTTGGGGTATTGTTAGGGATGATCCTCATGTTACAAGCGCAGAATTGCAGAAGCATACTGGTCTCAGTTACGGTGCTGTTTAGATGATGGGACCTGGGTCTGTCTGGATGTGAGTGTCTCCTGTTTATGGACACTTACTCACCACCCACCCCACACTCTGCTCACAAATAGGTCTCGAAGTGTGTGATTATGCCTTTCGTTTCAATCATCATTCTTGTTATTTGTGTCATGCTACTAATCTTTTATGTATCACAATGTGAAATAGATATTAATTCTGAATATTTTTGAGTAAACTTATATGTGAAAGTGATACACAAAATATGAGAATGCCTGTACATTCGGTTGGATCTAATTCAATCATAGAATTGATTTTAATTTGATTCTATGTATGTATTCTTATTGTACTGCATGAGGTTTCTATGATATAAATTTCCTAAAAACAGCAATTTACCATCACATTCCTATTTCACATAGTCTCATAGTAGAAGTATCACCACGTTTGTCACTTTCGAAGCTCATCGCGTCTAGGCTTCGATCAATTGAATAGTTTGTGTTCTTATGTGACCAAGTTCTAAATAGATGGCCAAATATTATATTTATGCAAAGACCCAATCCAATTTTTAGTGTCTTCTTATAATAAAACCAAAACGTACCGTGTGACTACTGGTTCAGAAACCACATGAGTTTGTCCATGATTGACACATTTTTCTTCATGAATACTATTGAATTGTAATTCTTTGTCATACTCTTCAATACTCAAATCAGCTGTCGAATTGTTCAGCATAATATTGTCTTCATTGAAAAACCATTTGCAAGAATAAGTACCCAAACTATCAGTGATAAGACGTAGTTCAAGCCGATCATCCTTTGGTACAATTTTATTTTGAAGGTAAGTCAACCACAATTTTTACCTTTCTAGCTATGAACAAAAGGCGAAATTTTTCACTATGATGATCGAATCACTGCAGTTGTAAAGAATCATAATCTCTCTCTCTCTTTCTATGTGTGTCAATCTCAATGCTCATTTTTCATAAAAAAACAAGAGTCTTCAAATAAATATTCGACAATAAATTATACCTTGTTGAATGGGAGGAATAACAAAATTGATGGCCATGATAAGTTTCATCGTGTTGGAAACCGGAGAAGTGCCAACAATCCTTTGAGATAATTTGTTAATGGAACGATCCATTCGAATAATATCTGTACTTCAATAATCGGCGCAACAAATTCCACTGATGATAGACCTAAGCCAGACACTAGTCGGAGACCAATTTGGAGTGACTAGACAACAAATAATTTCTATATTTACTTGGTTAACGTGTTCTAATTGTTGTCGACAGGCATCTCAAATCTCATATTGTGGGGTTAGAAAGCAACAGGCAATCGATGCATTTGTAATGTCACATGTCTTTCTATATGATTGATGTAATTATATTTCATGAAAAAGAGATCAGTTTATTCTATTTCAATTCACAAAACTACTTTACTCACTTTTCTAAAGTATACTCATTCATCGAGACATGAATACCTAATGCAATTAGTTCATGACACACCCGTGTGATCAAATTCTTAATGTCTGATTGATGCAAGAGTATAACATGAACAATCTAAATGGCTTCTAAGTTCTTTAGAGAAACATGCGGGCACGCCTTAAAATAGTAAAACAGAATCCATTTTATTATTCAATACCTTTGCTCGTATAAATTGCGAAAAGAAATAAAAAGAAAGTATTTATGAAGAATTAAATATATCTCTTTTAAAATGTCTTGTCATATAGATCAGGACAATAAGTTTTATTTCATTCTCTAGGGCTCACCTATTTGATTTGTGGATTAAACTGGCAGATGAAGTATTTGAACTGAGTAATCGAACTGCTTGTTTATATTTTCATGTTGTTGCAAGATGTCCGCATCTCTTCAGAACATTCTTCTTTGAATTCTCGGTCAGTTGCTCATCTATGAGTCGGAATTTGAAGTTCAAATATCACTGCATGAATACACACTACTAATTCAAAATTATATGTTCTAATAGTAGCGAAAGCGATCCTGTGAAAAGCAAATGTGTTGAATCAATGCCAGTTTCTTTAATTATGTTACATGTTCTTGATTTGTCGTCAGTCGTTATTGTAAATTGGAACTTAATCGAAAGGTTGCTAACTAAGTAGATGGACATTACATTTTAGCATTCATCAAAATATACTAGGGCTCGTTCAACGGTTTATCAAAAAGTAACAAGCCTCATCAATGGTATTTACTCCTTTTATACATACTTCACACCAAGTTAATGACATTAAAAATCGGACTATAATCTGCCTATAGGATTATGCTATTCAAACAAGTTCAAAACTCTTTTTCTAATCATAATATCGATTATTCTGGTAGAAAATATCATTCGCAGTCGTTTTATCCTTAGCGGATAGCATCAGTCAATAGAAGAGTATCTAACGACCAGATAAAATTGAATCACATGCATGAAGATCTTCAGATCGTGAAGTTTTAAAACCGCACAACAATCCTTGACGGCAATTATGATCGCATTGAGTTCCATTTTGATATGACTTTGTATAATGTGTGTATGCCAAACTCATGAGTGGACCATCTATGTCAGTTTGCATTCTTTCAATCAGATCACCCCAATCTTCGGGAAACAAATTCTTCATTTGATATGAATCTCGAGCGTTATATTCATCAACAAAAATGGTTGTATTATACATATTTGCTGCAGTTAAATTCATAATCACTGTGCGATGATCGAGTACCCAATATGAACTACCTGGATAGTCACCATCCATTGAAAATATACGATAGCCTGGATTTAAGAATGATTCGGTTGTAAGTGATGGTCCTATGTACATCTATAATCGATTTGAGTGTAATATTATCAAAAGGATGTATGTCGTACCATTGAGACAGGACGTTTTGTATCGACTTCATCGTAAACTACAGCGAATTCATCGTTGTGTCTATGACCATAGAACTGTCCGGCGATTGTATTTTCGTATCTAACGCAGTAGGAAAAGGTTTCTCCTGATAAGAGAATAACGAGTAATTTTAAACATTTTACCGATTGATAATTTTGTGAAAATTCCAACTAAATGCGGTCAAACAATCTTGTGGTGGATGATGCCCAATCAAATGTACTTTTTCTCCTTGATCTTCAGCATATTGTAACCATTGAATCAGCTAGAATTTTGTTTTCAAAGAGTTTCGTATTTGCCCCAAAAAAACTCACCCATTGGAGTTGGCCAAGTGGATCAGTCGAATTAATATATAACCAATAGTTTTCCTTTGGACAATAGTTCATATTGAGTGATATCAATCGAAAACCAGAGCGTATGATTGTCGTGTAGAAAGCTCCACGTAGAATACTGTCACGTGTATCATTCGGTAAGCCTAGTTTTATCCAACTGTCCGCCAATACCTCATATAACCATGAGATATTATCCGATCGAATGCTCGGTGTTGGGTAGAGATTACAAGGTGCTTTTTAGCATAGAAGAAAGGATTGGAATGTCAATAAGAGAAAGAATCAGAAATTATACCTGCTTCATGGTTGCCAACAGCCGAGTAGAATATCTTATTAGGGAAAAGATCGACTAACCACTGATTGATAGTATTGATTGAATAGATTTGATCTTCCCGAGACTGATTCCACACATCGTGTGGTGGCAGATCACCGGTATAGTACACAAAATCTATCTGACAAACATAGAAAAGTTGCCTGATGCAAAGAAAAACTTCATCTAAATTTTATTTGGTAACCTTTTCTATATCCGCGATATGTTGTAATATAGCTTTGGCTGTCCATTGTGGTAGATCACAATGGCCATAATCACCCCTACATGATAAACCCTAGATAAATGTGAACCGTTTCCTTCTAGATCATAAAAACTTACCAAAACCCAGCACTTCTATTACCAGAAGCTATGAAATTACAGAATTGAATCAGTTTCTATGGCTATCTATACAGAGAAAACACTGACCAGGCTGGCCCCCTCGACAGCACAATGGCGCTGAACAATCTACGATCGATCCTGGCTTATAGCCAAAATCGACGTGAATATCCGAAAGATGAAGAACATTTAGTTTGGGTGATTCGGGCTAGAATGAAGCGAAACGAGATCGAAATATTTATACTTTATTTTCTTTCTGTAAGGGGCACTCACTGCAGGTGGTTGTGGTGGTCGAGGAGGTGGTTTGGGCTTATCAGGAAATGTAACATTCCAGCTGAATACAGGAAAATCCGATTGTTTCTCACAGCCAAAAGTAATTGCACATAGTTGTTGGTCAGTAAGATGTGCTTTAGTAAGCACTTCGACTACTACATGCTATCAGAGTATGAGAAGTGAAGTTTTTAATAAATAATTACTAAAATAAAAGTATCATCTAACTTTGTATTCATGAATAGCACCGAGACAAATATCTTTAACGAAAAGTTTGAAGTCTACGCAAAAGTCGGTGAGTAGCGTTTCTAATTCATCCATCTCACCGATTTCGATAAGCAAGCGAGCCTATACAATACACATACATTCACAAGACAAAGTCATATCGAAAGTACAAATCAACTCACTAGAGGTACTGCCATATGGCATAGCTCACAAACAGGTAATTCTATTTGACTCCTTTGTGACCATTGTAGAGCGTCAAGACTTATAAGACCACCCACCATTTGCTCCACAGTTTCTTGTCGAATTGGGTGGGCATCGATAAGTATTATGAACGTGACACAGTGGTAGAACAAAATATAAAGGAGTGTTGTTGGTGAAGACATTGCGAGAATGCCTATAATAAGTCGCACAAGACATTGTAAGATATATAATGAAATTTATCTTATCTTGCTCTGTAAATCATAATATATACTTTTTCTTCAACATATAAGAGTAAGTTTGGATTTTTATCTTATTAATGTTTTCTTACTAAGCTCTTCTATCCTAAATTTGGCATCTGTAACAGTTGCTGTAACAAAATACCATTATCTACAAAAAGAACTATGTGCAGTGTTCGATAAAAATAAGTAGCAAAACTCACCTGTGGCCACGTGCTCCCAAGTGATATTACATAACCATAACATCAGCCATAGCAACACATTGTCTACTTCACTATCAATAGAGATTCTCTACCACATCTTTGATTGTGTTGATACATAATTTATTCTTATTTCACTGCGGCATCTATGCAGGTGGTTGTATGCTACTATCACTTCTTATAATCGATACGAACTCAATATTGACTTTCAATAACATTAAATACAACAAATTAAAACTCAGCCTCTGATCTCACTGTTCGTTGAATTATGTGAAAATCTGAATTCCTGATCATTACCGAAAAATTCAAAGTTCGAAGTTTACATTTGAAAGATGTTGATTGTAGAATTGAACAAATATCTTGGCCATTTCATTGCAAACTGCGATGTATTACATTATGAATCTGCACTTATACGCAATACCAAACGATCTTGGGTAGTTTGCCATATTTACAAATATTTCTAATGAGACATTGTAGCATCAGTAATCAGTGAAAATGAAATTACTAACATCGTATTCTCGATTTGGTTTCTTTGACTATTGGTGATGGCAATCTTTCATTAAACAATATCGAATTGTCTATCTCGCGGGCACCTTTACTTGTGCAATTGAGCTTGCAATTTCGTATGGACGTATATGACTCAATTTTTGATGGTTCTTGGTGGGAATATTTCGTTCAAAATAATCTACTGCAACTGAAATAATCATTAATTCATTTCGAAAATCATACTGGCTGAAAAGCGTAGATTATACCATCCGCCTGTCACTATGATTCATGCTGACGACTCACCTCAATGGATTGCTTAATCAGTCTCACCGTCTGTTCCAATCAGATGGAAAGCACTGCCAATGAATGTTACCTGTCCTGCGACATTGAATAAGATAACTGAAGAATTCAATTCCCCCAAAAGCAGAGATATACTCTCAGGAAAGCACCGCTTCTCAGCTCTTGAGGGTGAGGGCGTGGATCATCAACCATACGCTCACCCTCACACCGTGAAAATTCAAATCATTTAGCTTTTCTTTTAATTCATATAATACCTTGAGTCGGTAGAATCGAAATGCACCCTCAATTATAAGAATTTCGTATTAAGAAACTAAACAAAAAAGTTCTTCAAAATAAAAGTATTGTATTGGTCGTATTGAATTATTTAACAGTTATAGTTTAGTTCTCCGATCTCGATTCTGGTTCCAAGAAATTTTAAAATGCCGGTTCCAGTTTGACTTGTGATTTCATGCTTTTTTCGCCACTCCCAATATCTTCTAACGAATAAAACGCATACTGAAAAATAAACATTGAACAAACTCGTTTGTTAATGATAATTCTATCATTGACGACGTCAGATATGGCAATAGTTGAACATATATATATAGAAGATTATATTCAAAATATTAATCATTTATATTCAACTTGAACGACTCCACTGTTCATATTCTTAGTTTATCCGATGAGATATTGCTTGTTATTTACAATAAATTGGATAACATGGATATATTATATGCACTCATAGATGTCAATCGCAAACTCGATAGATTAGCTCCGGATATAAATTTTACATAATCTGTTGATTTAATAATAATATTATCAAACGAAAGTAATGATTCAAGGAATAAATCAATAGCCGATCGATTTTGTTTTGACATATTACCTCAAATTCAACACAACATTGAATCTCTTACTCTTGATTCATTATTAATAGATCACGTTTTCCGTATTGGAGATTATTCTAAATTCCATAAGCTTACTTTTCTTTATCTTCGATTTGAAATGGCGTCTCGTATATTCAATGGTATCTCATATTATTTTTCACTCTTCAAAATAAATAAATCTAAGTCGATTAACTCATATTCTATATTTAGACAAGTCATCATTTATTCATATCTTTCAAAATCCATTTTCGCATTTTACTGTGATCATACACGATGACAGCAAACGTGGACATTTAAAAGAATTATGGACAAATGTTTTCACCAACATTTTAATTATATTTACAAATTTGATTTATCTCAATTTTCATTCACAAGATATTTGCCGGTATATATCAAAACCTTTTCTTAGTTTACCATCAACAACATGTTATTCATCAAATATTGTTCATTTGAATATTGGAGTCTAAAGTTTTGATGATTGTCTTTGTTTACTTGATGGACATCTTACTCAATCACATGCGTTTATTGTCAAGGTTGAACACATTCATGATACATCAATGACTATAAAAAAAAGATGGTAAAATATTAAACAATCTATTGTTGAATAAGTTCTCAAATATGTAACGATATCTAATGCTTTTATCTACCTCCTTGTTTGAGTATTCAACATAACATGACTTAACATTTATGTTAATTTTGTTTTTAGAAAACAGTATCTAATCTAAAATATTTCTCATCGACTTCATTTCATCGAACAAATGAATATGATAATCAAATTTTACCATTATTACATCAAATGTTACAATTAGAAGAACTAACATTATCCCTCATTGTAGGTGATCAAACTTCATTCATTGATGGTACTCATTTGGTTAATAATATTCTTAATAGAATGTCATATCTATAAACATTTATCTTCAATATTATCATTGAATATGTATGAGTGAACGAAGAACTTTTACCAACACTTGATGATATTAAACGACCGCTCATTCAAAGAGGATTTAATATTAACTGTTATACTGACTATAATGAATTTTATCAAGGTCAATGTCATATTTATTCGCTTCCATATACTGTACACTGTATGCATATACATTCTAGTCTATTTTATGGCGGTTTATTCAGAACTGTTCGTTCTCTCTATGTACAAGATTGCGTTCGTCCATTTGAAGATGATTTCTTTGTTCGAATTGCGCAAGCTTTTCCATTACTAAATAAATTAACAATATTTAATAAACATAAACAAGCCAAGTTAAAACAGCAACAAAATAAACATGAATCAACATCTTCAATTATTGAGTTTTCTCATCTAATGATACTCAATGTCGCTATGTCTTGTATCAATTATGCAAAATAATTTATTTTCGACTATAATACGCGTCTACCTCGTCTTAATAGATTACATATTAAATATAAAGACTTAGTGATCGTAACAGAGAATTTCACAAACAATGATGCTAGTGCTATTTGCTCAAAATTACAACATATTATTTTTGATTCAACACCAACGATATATCAAGAGAACTTCTAAGTTTATTTTCTTTTGTTGTAAATAAAATAGTGTTGCTCCATGTTTGAATTAATGACACCTTAATTTTCCATGGCTAAAAAATCGAGTTTCTGACGTGTTTTAACTTTGCATAGAATACATTTGTGATATCGCTAATAATTTAAATTGCAGAGGGGATGTAAAGGTTCTATGGTGCGGGTGTTATTTCAGTGAAGATGAAGACCCCCAACCCACACCCAGACTTTTAGCATGGTGGAGAAACACGGTTGGCATCACTTCAAAGCGTATTCTGCTTCAATTCCACTTTCGACTTTGTCTAGCACTAAGCTTTAACTGATTCTACTATTTTTTCCTCAGTTTTCATTTCTCTCTTTAACCCCTGATTGCCTTCTCTTATTCATAATGAACCCTAGCGAAATTATGTCTCTGACATCTATCTTCAAAATCGGCTTTCACTGAATATTTTCTCTAAAATAACTGATAGCCAACAGAGAGGAATCAGAAATGAATCTTGGTTGAAGATTTTCTATAAAAAGAATGCAACTTTAGCTAGCTGTATCCGTTAAACTGAAGTAGACTTGATTGGACTCGTTTTTTCAAACACGTGATCGTAATCTTGATGCTAGCTCTTGATCCTGCAACCTTTTTTCATCGTTTGCAATGCATTAGAGGCATTATTATGCATGAAAAATAATGAATATGAATGTGTTACAGATATTATTAACAAATAGCGCATTATAATGTTCAGAAAAGGTCAATTGATGCAGCATAATGTCATTCTTCTTCATTCTTTTATATTATTCTGCGATATAGGAATTGCTTCGCATTGGACCTTCTCGGTCGACTCCAGATACTACTCAATGTTTTTCAAAAGAAAAAAGAAACGAAAAAAAGAATGTCTATCGTCGTCCATAGTAGGGATTGCTATTGCAATGCCCGTGCCGATTGGGTTTATCGGATAATCTGTAGCCATGATCGTGTGTCTTCGACGCAATCTTGCGTTGGATTTCTCGAAATTTTTCTGTGCCCAACACTTTCTCTAAGAGAGTTACATCGATGAATAATGATGGTTGCCAAGCATATTTGCCAAGCTCTCCGGTGTATACTTGAGAATATCCGATTTCATTTGTTAACAAGACTAGCAGTTTCTCTCGATTGAGAAAAGCTTCGCCCGATGTGTTACTTAGATCAGATTCTGGTGTTGTGGCAAGTTTCTGGAGAATTTCTTTGAAGATTGGACCAAATCGTTTCGGACAATACTTTCTCAAAAGACCGCCAAAACCTTCGAGCGTCTTCGCCGTGAGTAGTTTGTAAGTGACCACTCGAATCCCTTCGGGAGTGATGCCGAAGGTCACCGAATGATCTCTATTCCCTTGGATACTGTCGTCGATCAACGTCATGATCGTCGACTTGGTTGCCCGTTCAGGAACTTCTTTTTCGTAGAAGAGAATCAAAAGCAACTCTTTTCGTAGATCATCGTAATCGAGATTGTTCTCGAGATAATTCTCATCCAATTGACAGTACTTCAAAATATTTTTAATCTCCAGAGGAACAGCGAGACTCAATTGTGGATCGATCGATTGAAGAAAAGATTTGAGATATTCGACATCGAGTTCTTGTTGAATTAATTTTCTGCCTTCGCCTGTCTTTGTCTCAGGAATCAATTCAATCGGCTGACATTTTTCATCATGGAAATAATCAATGAAACTCTTCTCGACAAAATCAGGATCGGCTTGACTGATATCGATGAGCTCTTTGTCTTTGTTACTGGCCACTGTCTTGACAATTTGATTTTCATCTCCATACAACAAGCGTTTGATGATCGTCATCCTATCCCCGGGGAGTTTTTGACGCAATCGGCTGTAAAGATGACCGTAGTAGATGGGCAGCAAGGCTGGTTTCAGATGCTTCTTTAGATAAGCAATGATCAGCGGAATGGAGAGATCGTAGGTACTACTCTGCCGCCCATGAATACTCTGAAGATAATTCTCGTAGGTGTTTTCTCCATACGCAGTTTTAAACCCAATCGATTCTGTGATGATAAAATGACAGACTTTCTCAAATTCACTGATGATCTGTTGGTTTTTCGTTGTGCCCGTGCGTAACATGATGATATCGTAGAGTAACTTCAGTAGACCAATTTCTTGTTGTTTTTCGTAGCCATAGGAATCCAAGGTGAACATATAACCCAACCAGATACCTTCTAAGATTCGAATACGTTTCATGTGTTCATAATTGATGTACAAAGGAATGACCGCGTTGATCTTCTCGTGCAGTTGACCAACGACACAGAAGGTATCGTTGATGCCGGAGAATTGTCCGTAGGTTGCGCCTCCTTCAGTATTTAAGTTTTTCTGTTGATGCGCATTTCTCGCGAAGTTCATCGCTGTGATGAACGAATCGTAAGAGATCAACGTGTTGGAAACACTAATCAATTTCAGACCTTTTGTCGGAGAAGTAATCGCTTCCTCGTTACGTTCGATGAGAATACCCAAACACATGATATTATCCGAGGTCTTTCTCATCATTTCATAGATATCGTCGTTGGAATAAGTACATACCCAGTCAGATTTCTGTTCTTTGATTCGATTCCACCCATCTTGATCGATCGATTGGCGATATCCGTCGAGAATGCCGCTGATGTCCGTCTTGCGAAAGTAATCGACATTCTTACTGATGCGTAAGTCGAGCTTCTTTCGTCGCTGAACATTGGCGAAGGTGGCATCGTGCCTCAAGGCGTTCAATTTCAATTGCACTTGTTCTGGAACTTGGCCCATTTTCATCTGAGTGAAAAGGTTTGTGTATTCCATCATTCGATCGTCAATCTCCTTTTTGATCTGTTCCAATTCCAGTTTCTCCATCAGTTCTGTTCCTGGCAACCAAACAATCGAACCCAAAAAGGAACGAATGGCTTGAACCGATTCTTCATTGTCGGGAGAGACGAGATTCAACGCACGAATGACATGGATTGGTCGAACGTTGGCCATCTGTTCGAGAGGGAGTTTTGTTTCACTGTCGCTCGATTTCAGAGTGATTTCTGTCAGTGAAGAAGTGTCGATCTTCATGCCGTTGATGAGAAAACCGACGGTGTCTTCGTTGCTGCTCGACGAGAACGTCTGTCCATTGAGAACGATGGTGAATTCTCTCGATGACATGGCATAGTCGAACATATCGTTGAAGTTATTTTGTAATTCCACAGATTTCGTGGAATAACGAAAGAGACCTTCTCTCGTTCCGAATTTTCGTACTTGTTCGAGAAAATTGCTATTCACATCGCCGAATCCAATCACATGAAAGGTCACTGTCACTGATTTTGGTAATGCACTGATCGTCAATTTCATTCGTTGAATGGCTTGCTTGAATACTTCTTGAGAATCACCATCCTGTCCATCGGTCATGAAGATGAATGTCACTGATTTTTGATTCTTCATCAAATACGTTTGAATGGCACTGAAAATCGAACTGAAACTTGTTCCACCACTAGCCGTCAAATCTTTTTTCTCCACTGATTTTATTGTTTGACTGATGTTCACTGTCGTGTTGTAAGTGAACAAACCATACTCCCTCTGTGTTCGTTGGTAAATATCACGTAAGACTTGACAGACATTACGAATTGGAGCACCATCCATCGAGCCAGAAACATCGACACAACAGATGATGTTGTTACCAGCTGATGCGTCGACTTTCGGGACTTTTACCTCGATGAAATGCGACTCACCACCGATTTGAAACGGAGTTTTGAAATAGCTCGCCATCGTTTATTTTCACTTAGAAATGAATGAAAAAAGAAATGAGAGCTTTGCCGTTTTAAACCGCCTGATGAGGTGTAAATGTTGATTTGCGGATGAGTGATGCAATATCATTTGGCACACACTTTCCTTATCTAGGATCCTGTCACATGTGTTTCACCTTATCATCTGGATTGCATTCCGAAGGGAAAAGGCATGGGTATTCGTAATTTCTTTATGGCGTTTCTCATTTATTGAAGAGTAGCCCATAAAAAACCGTTCTAGCTCAACTTTCAGGGTGTGGGTGTGGATGTTCACCTTCACTGAAATAACACCCTCACACCCACCTACACCCTACAAATTAGATGATAAAACGAACGATGGCAATACCAAAAAGAAGAGCAGTCATTCAATTCCGCAATGTTGAACATTCCGGAACCAGTTCCGCCCCAGGAATCAGTTCCGTCGATTCCGGAATTAGGTCAAATATGAACACCGTCCGATTCCGGAACTGGTTCATCTGATTCCGGAATTAGTTCCTCCAATTCCGGAACTGGTTCATCTGATTCCGGAATTAGTTCCTCCAATTCCGGAACTGGTTCATCTGATTCCGGAATTAGTTCCTCCAATTCCGGAACTGCTTCGCCCGATTCCGGAACTGCTTCGTTCGATTCCGGAATTAGTTCGTCCGATTCCCGGAATTCCACGGAATTCAGTCCAATTCCGGAATCAGCTCAATACGGAATCGGTGGGAATTAGACGGAATTACCAGGAATTCCATGTGATTC